TTGTCAGATTTATCTCATAAATATATATTCGTATGTATTACGATCACTTTTCTCTTACAGTTCTTTGACTTTGCTGATTTCAATCTGTTTGAAATAGGTAAAGGGGATTTTCGGTCAAATTTTTAATCACATTTTCACATAAACAGTCTTTTAATTTATTCATTCATAAGGAATTAGCAGTCCTGATTATATTCATGAAAACTTTTTTAAACAATATGGTTTAGCTTTTGATATTTAGATTCACTGGTTACCGTCTTAGCTTAGCCGAGTTTCAAACTTTATTCCCACTTTAATGCTTGCTGAAAAGTATGCTCCAAATCAAAAAAAAACTTTTCACAAGCAACTCCGAGAGATGGAGCCACTCGATAGTGAATTTAATGCAATACCAAAGATATTTAAAACTATTTATAATCACGCTCAAAATATATGTACCCACACAATATTTATTTACGCTTTTCACAAGTAATTTCTGTTTCTGAATTCATTTCACATATCAACACAACTTTCGTAGACTCTTAAAATCGTTTTGTTAATAGTTTAGAAAAATAGTTATAGAATAGGGTCAGTTGAAATAATAGTCAATAGTTGTGTGTGACATAGCATCGATTGCGCCTTCAGACCTATAATGTACAATTAAACCGATAAAAAGGTGTTAACTGATTTACCATTGAACCTGTGCTTATTTACTCGTGAATAATTCGTATAGCTGCAATGATTGCGGCTGAATTTCGTGTGCCTATTAAAGAAATTTAATGATTGGAAATCTACAAAAAATTCCCCATTTCCATACTAAATCAAAGGATCAATTATTTTGTTGTCGTCCCCTTGACTCGGATTTTGTGTTCTCCACTTCACCGATCTTTGGCATCGGTCGATCATTTGGATAATTGCTGCCTTCAAACAACTTTGAACTGACGGAGCGGCCCACTCGCAGTTTTGCCGCATAGTTTCGAACGCATTTGGTCAAAATGAGTTTTAATTTTCTTTTTTTGGCCAAAGCCAAAGTCAAATCTAAAGCATTTGGTACGCCTTCGCCTGGCGACCCGCCCCCGCCTGTTAATGAAACGCTCAAGCGTTCTCAAAACAAAAAAAAATTTAAAAAAAACAAAGCCAGTAACTAAAACAGAAACATACAGACTTAAACACAATATTACTGTTGACACACAAACGGGGTTTGGAGTCAACAAATCTACCAAATCGGAGGACTTTACGATGCTCGGCGTCAAGGCGTTCTGTCAATGTATACGTGCACGGAGAGAAATACATCTGGTTAGATATTAAATAAAATACACAAACATAGGCACACAAGCATTTACTCTCTCTATTTAATTATTTAACTTATCGGCGCAAACTCTGTTTCCAAACATAGATTAAAGACCGAAAATAATCGAAGATACCGCATTGTTCATGGGTTTTTTCCCTGTGTAGATCTTCGAATCGATTTGCATATGTACATTTTACACACAGATATAGTCATGTCTGTGTATTTGGACATATATCAAATATTGATAGCTGCTCAAAATGACGAAACGATCGAGTTATTTGCGCGACTTTACTTAACTCATTCTTGATGCTGTTTTCTTTCTTTCTTCGACCCACACAAAGCGAGTATCTACCATATACATTATATACACGTTATAGAACCGTGATCTGTCTGGGGTTGACTGTATGTATTTGTTGTGTGGCATACACAAAGTGGAACTTGTCAGTTTGTCGTACCTGTAACCACAGTGCAGCATTCCTAATGCGATCCTCGCCTTGAATGAACGAACTCGATTCGATTTCATTGAGTAAAACGAATAGTTTGGTGAATGAAGTGATGAACAAAACACTAAAAATGTGTTTATTGGCTAATTCGTTGGACCAAATCAATCATGAATTTATAGCCCAGTGGATATATCAAAAAAGCTAATAAAGCTATAAAATACCTATTCATTATACATAGGAGTCTTTTCAGAACTTGAGGCTAGGACTTCATCCCTAGGTTCCACTGTGATCACTGTGATCATATGCAAAAGTTATTGGGGCGATCGTAACGAAAGCAATAACAGTAACAACGAAAAACAGGGCTAACTGATTCAGCGCCATCGATGTGCGTTAACTCAATTCCAATCGACTAGAATCCACTAGAATTTGATTCGTTCGGATTTGTGCAGCTAATGGCAAACAACCCACGTACACTGACTATATATGCACCTTATAAACTAAACGGTATCGCCTACCCGCACTTGTACGGATGTGTTCTAGTTAGATCTTAACCCGCGACGAGGATGATACGCGAGGTGCCTCTCTTTGGAAAAGGGCAGGTTTTACATTAGATACATACCTATGTATGTATGTATATCTATGTGTATGATGATTTTAAAGGCCTCCGTTTACACTTATTTCGCAATCATCTTTTCGAAGTTATCCCGCTTTCTGATCACTTAACACTGGTCAACAGCAGATCGCATATTATCGATCACTTAACAAAAACAAAAAACAAAAAACAGAAAAAGAAAAACAAACAAGTCAAGAGTTTGAGAGCTGTGGACAAACATGTGGCTGGTAAGGGGCTGGGGTATTGGCCAATTAGCCAACATACACACACATTGGCAAACAGATGTTCCTAAAAAGGCCAATAGGGCGTCATACAGGCCGCTAAAAGGCAGTGGAAACACGCGCTTCTCGTTCTTTCAGCGGGAAAGTGGTATCCTTGCAATGTCATCACGTGCCAAAGGGCCAAAATCATAGCAACAGGCAATTAAATGGCTGAAAATATGATTTTCATTTGGAACAGACTTTCAGCACAGATATGTGTGGTTAAAATGGGGATATATTGTGATATTTATTAGCAGGAACGCGGCAAAGGCACAACAACAATACAGTAAACACAGTGCATCCGATGGGCACTCACTCACACTCACACGCGGACATTTGGAGCCGAAGAGGGGATCCAATCGAATCGAATCGAATCGTATCGGGTCGGATCGGATCGCGTTGTTTTTGTTATTTTGGAGCAGCAGCCCCAGCCAAATGGTTTGTTGCCAGATTCACAACTGATCTACCTGCTTGGCTTTGCTTTTGCCGTTTGTTATTCGCTTTTCAGTGGTTGTTGCTGCTGCTTTGGCTTTTGGCTTTGGCTATAGCTTTAGCTGAAATTGGCGATCGCCGCTCCCTCTTGGCGCAAACCCCCAAGCCCCCAAGCCCCACCACTCCACCCCCCCACTAGCCCCGCGCTGTCGCAACGATCGGCATTTTCCATTTTGCGGTCGGTCCATCTGCTGGCCATTCATTCAAGTCCGACTTCGGACTCGGAGAGCACGAGAGAGCGCCAAGCCAGTCCGAACAATCGAAATCGAACTCAGTTCGAATCTGAGTCTGCATCTGTATCCGAACAGCGGCAATACCCTAGCTTCGAGAAAAAACCTTAAAAAATCGATTCTTTTTGAATTCCAATTTCATGTTATTTATGTATATGTTATTTGAAGATCCTTGAACTATGTACTACATTAAAGGGTATTTCCCATTCGCCGCCCCGGCGAGATTCTGGCTCTCCGCTGTGCGACAATATTTGGTTCGAGCGACAAGTTGCCTGAAGGTTAGACCCAAACCGATCCGATCCGATCGGATTGGAATGTTGGCCCGTCGCGAAAGCGTTGGCGGTTAGACAAAGCCAGCTAGAGGCGGTGGGAGCGAGAGGGGTAGAGCCGCACACACCTACTCGCGAATGAGTACGTTAGTTTATCGGTGTTAGTTTTGCGAGTGTCTCATGATATTTCGCAGAATCAGAATCGCGGGAATCGAGAAACTCCCCAAAACACAGATAAACTCTTCCGGTGGACAGTGGGCAAAATAAATGAAAAAAAATAAATAAAAAAAATGTTGGGTTGGTGGGAGGGGTTTGTATGGAGCGAAGCGGAACTAGGAAATGCCTTTTGTTATTGGCACGCGCGACGTGATCTGGAAAACTAACTACTGTGCATAGAAAAAATTGAATGATCTACGTACATACCACATGTGCATATATTCATTTCATAACAGCTGCAATTTCCGAAAGTTATAATCATTAGAATTCTACTGAAATGCACTTACCCCAATTTTCTGCCTCTAATATCAAAGAGGAATCATTCAAATTTAAAAGTTTTTAGCTTTGATGTACATATTTAAATGTACTAGCCTACATTAAATTCCAAGAACTCCCATTACGCACAATACGATCGACTAAGCATCTGAATTTGTTGAATTTCTTGGAATTTTATTCTTTTTTATTGTTTTTTTTACTCTTTACCCTCGATTTGTGTGTGTGTGTGTTTGTTGTGAGAGCTTCAAAAGGACATTCGAACGAAGGGGAAGAGAGAGAGCAGCAGGCGTGAAGGATACGGGCGACAATGTATGTAGCAAGCCAAAGGACGAGGATATGGATTTCCTATGCACTTATCACCGTGCCATTCCGGTCAAATCCCCTCCATTCCATTTCGATCCGATCCGATTCGCGTCGAGGGTTTTACAATTTGGAAGCACTTAGAACTAAATCTCTACAGAATGTGCAATCAATCTTTTACAGTATTTCTTTAATAATTTTATGTATATTTCATGATTTGTGTGTTGGATGCGTGGGTGTGTTCTTTGTGTATATCTTATGCCTAAGCAGGACAATTGAATGTAACGAATTGAAGTTTATTTATTTAAAAACTAAGCGAATACAAATTTTTAAAAAGACACAAAAAAATAAGAGGAGTAAGTTTAAATTTTTTTGGGGGGTAGGGTCCAATATGCGGACGCACCCCAACAGAACGATCATAATGCTCTTTAAGGTATGTTAGTGATGCTTTCTAGAGAGTTTTAGAGGCAGGGTGTTTGGGTGGTGGCATGTATGAGGCGATAATGTTATCCTTGTTTTGTTTAATCTAATTACATAAATTATGCTAGGATAGCCCATGAGCGTTAAGAAAAAAGAACTACATAAATTACTTGGGAGATGGTTGCAATCCCCATTTCTCTTGGTTGCGTTTTTGTTGGTTTTTGTTTTCTATATTCTAGACTCAGTTGACAGCGGCGTGCCACCAAAAATGTGGTTAAAATAATCGTATATGGTAACTGGATGCACTGTTCTTTGGAGTGGTTCTTTATCTCTCTCGTTCTACCGAAATTGTAGTAGCTTTAACTTCCGTTTCCGATATTGGCCTTCAGGTGTTTCTCCGTTTCTTATTCGGGCTTTATCGGTTACTCCGTTCTTTCAGAAGCTCAATCTACTTTTTTTTTGTTTTTATTTTGTATTAGATCAGTGTAAAATTACATAGCGCGCCTACTCCTTTGATGCGATCTTGCTAGCTTTGATCCTGCCGCCCTTCACGTGGTTGTGGGGTTTACGCTCGCACTCATCCATTCTTTAACATCTATCCATCCATTCGTATCCGACGTGTTCTGCTATCGCTTACTGCATAATGCATACTGCTCCTGGTTGATTAGCTAGTCCATGGAACTTCGGCTTATGCCTCTCATAATCTCTTCAGCATGCGCTTCTTCTCCTTGAGCAACTTCTCCTTCTTCTTGTCCTGCAGCTTCTTGTCCAGGCCCGCGTGCTTCTTCGTCGAGGGTCCATCGTCGTCTTTGTCATCGCCATGAGCGCCTGCACCGCATTTGGCAGGCTGAAATGGAAGATCACAAATTATTTGTTAAGCGGATTTTTGATATAGCCTCATCAGCGCTTTAAAAAACTATTCCTGATGCTCATGCAAGGGTCACGACCTCATTTACCTGGGCATGGATCTCTGTCATCATGCGCGCCCTCTGTGAGTAGTCATCGTAGCGTTCCAACAGCATCTTGCCGGCCTCCTCGTTCAGCGCCGATTCGGGATTCGGGACAATCAGCAGGCATTTGATGGTGAGCAGAATGTGCTTGATGCCCAGATCCGGTTTCCAGTCCTTCTTTAGTGTGTTCACGCAGATCTCCCCGTTGGCGGCCACATTCGGATGAAAGATCTTGGTGAGGAAGTATGCCTTGGGTGGCGTCTGCGGGAAGTCCTTATTCAGCGTCAGTTTGACGCGAAAAACTCCAGCGGCGTACGGAGTGCCAGCAGGTCCATCGATCAGAGCCTGAATATCCGTCACATCGCTCTCGTTGATCAGCACCTTAATACCTTCCGGTGGCGTGGTCTCCATCTCCTGCAGCTCCCTCATCACCTGCCTTATCGTCTGCGGCGACAGGTTCTCCACATTCGAGTATTGCTGCAAATGGTGGAAATAATTAGTTTGGAATTGCAATGCTACATCAGCAAAAGTTAATATCCACAAAACTGGATTTGAATGGCACGTTTACATCACAATCGTCAAATATTTCAAAGGTAAATCGCAGTTGGAATTCTTATTGGAACGTAAGATCTTTTAAAATCAATTAACAAATCAACAGATATCATGCAGAATTGCAAGTACAGTACTTATTGGTAAGGATTATGACATACAAACTTAACTGCCAGAATCATATGACTTTACAAACAGGGGTACTTGTTAATAAAACTATACATATGTATGGTGCTCTCAGTACCAGCCATACTTAAGATTTAGAAGCATCTGGCTCGGATTCTTTACAATCATTGGTACAACTTCTTAAGAATGGTTTCGTATAATCTAAGAATGCTAACAATTTGAAGAACATGTTCATCCTACCGAACTCATGATGTCTGAACTTCCTGCCGCTCCTTAGCTTCTATGCGTGCGTGAGTGTGTATGTTTGTGTGTAGATGCGGACCAGCGCTAGTGTGCGTGCGAATTGCTGTCTCAAGGTTTCAGTTTCGTCAGCTTATTCCTGCAGCTGAGCTCTTCGGGCCTCCGAAAGTCCCAATTTCACCGCCTTTTCCCAGCTGGCTTGGAAAAGTGGCCCGAAAATATATGTATATGTGTGTGGCTGGCTTTTCCTTTGCCTACACCTCTTGCTTTTCTTCGCCCCGCCACTTGTCTCTCCTTGTCCGTTGTTTGGGTTTCTGTTTTCGCACGCTCTCTTCTACAGACTTGTACATATATATATTTGATATAGCACTTCTTGAAAACCACGATTTTGGGATAGTCGAGCGACTAGAAATTTTGTCCAGTAGCTTGCTCTTGTTTTAAATCGATTCGCTCGCCTTCGTTGTTGCCGTTTTGTGATTTTTCTCGACTCTCTCGCCACATTAAAACAAATTCAGTTGTCTAATTGCACACTTCACGCTCGACAACAACACACAAAAACAGTTTCATTTTACAGTAACCCTCGTCGCTGGCGATGCGCTACAAGTGGGGCATCTGCGGTCACATGAGACGTTCGATTTGAGCGCTACATTTTTGTGAGTCAGTTGAAAACAGGGTTTCCAAAACGAACCATTTGAATAAGCCTACTACTTATGAACAGCCTTGTGACAGTTAAGCCTCGCGTTACGTAGTTGAACGTAGCCTTGTTGCAAGTGTAGCGCATTTGAATGTCCACCTAGCCTACACAAACAAACTGTCTCTACACTAACGCACCAACAGGGCTGCTCAGACGCTATCGTTATATCGATAGGTGCACAACTTCGGTTTTTGCCCAAGTAAAAGGTATTTTTTCTGGGAATTATTTAAAAACAAGCGAAGAAAATATAAAAAAAGCTAACATTTTATTCTGACTTACACAAACCATCGCTAGCTATCTATAAAACATATGTATTTTGTAATTCTAAACAACTTTGAATACTTTCATTACTATTTAAATGCATTGCCTTTGCATATTTTGTGGTATTTTTGACAACTGAAATGGTATATTTAGGCTTTGCCTTCCCCACGGTCACACTGGAACTAATACCATCCGATAACCGATAATGCATCCCAATATCGAAGTACAATAGTGCCCGATAGGTTCATCCATCCATTTTTTTTATTTAATTAGTTTTAATTTAGATTTCTAACTCTAATTTATTGGCGGCCACCCACTATCGTCGCTCCCCGCCATCGGTACGCTGCACTTTGGTTCGGTTTCGGTTCGCATCGGGCGTATCGGTTCGATTTCGATCCTGAAGATCAGATCAGAATCTGGGGAACTGAACTGAACTGCCGTGTTTTGTGTTGTGTGTGAGGCAAGGTGAGGAAAATTGTGAGTGCACTCTTGATCGGGCGGATCGGAGAAAATGTCGAAGAACAAGATAAACACAACGTCCGGATCGGCGGCCAGTGAAACGAATCTGATCGAGGTGAAATCGAAGGTGAGTCCTAATTTTCGTGCCCCCGGATTCCACGCCCCTTTCTGCGACGCTGAGCTGCTGATTCATGCGCACAGAAATGGGATTAATAGCTTTAATCACAGTTCTGTGGGGAAAGGGATCTTTAGTCTGAGAAACATTGTGGCTACCAAGTTGTGAGCTCCTTATATAGATGATAATCCATTATCTATTAAGCTCGATGAGTACTTGAACTGCCAGGTTTGAGGAGCAACTGGTTACCATCTTCGGAACACCATAAATTGACAATGTACTTGTCGGAGTTGCTGGGTTCTGATAAGGAACGTTGCAACACCCATTTGTGCTTGGGCTATTTGCCTGAAAAGCAATCTGTTGTGCCTTATTCGAAAACTACCCTGTTGCACTCTTTTTCAGTGATTAAATGGTGTTCGACACAGAAAAGGTCTTAAAGATTTAACGGTGTAAGCTTCAGAAATTAGTGCATATAAAATGATTTTAGATAAAGTTCAGTAATAGCTGTAGGACAGTAGATGTACTGCAATTCAGAGCAGTTTCCATTTAATTAGTAAAACGGTTGCATACAATTGAATCAACAGGTGAAGCTCATATAAAAGCTATACGGGTTGCAAAAGATTTGTCCCCTTTACTAAACAAACCCAATCATTTAGTTCGATGCAGAGTTTCGGCGGTGGAGCTTTAAGCGAAATGAGGCGGAGCAGAGCTTCGACAAATTCGCAGCCCTCATTGAGCAGCTGCACAAGTTGACCAACATCCAATTTCTCATACTCTACATCGATCCGCGTGACAACGATCTGTTGCCGATCAACAACGACGACAACTTCGGCCGGGCCCTGAAAACAGCACGTCCACTTCTACGGGTCATTGTACAGCGAAAGGGTGAGAATGCATAAGATACCATAAGACCTACTCAACCACAATCTCTGCTTCCACTTTCCAGATGATCTTAATGAGTACTCTGGCTTTGGAACGATGAAACCGAGGAACCTCATCGGCAGCATACTGATGGGCCATACGCCCGTGAAGACAAAGGCGCCGTCGATATCCATACCGCACGATTTCCGTCAAGTCTCGGCTATTATTGATGTGGATATTGTGCCGGAAACGCATAGAAGAGTGCGGCTTCTGAAGCACGGCAGCGATAAGCCCCTGGGATTCTACATACGGGATGGCACCTCTGTCAGGGTGACGGCCAGTGGGCTGGAGAAGCAACCGGGCATTTTTATATCCCGTTTGGTTCCGGGCGGTCTGGCCGAAAGTACAGGTCTGCTGGCCGTTAACGATGAGGTGATCGAGGTGAATGGCATCGAAGTGGCTGGCAAGACTCTGGATCAAGTCACCGACATGATGGTGGCCAACAGTTCCAATCTAATAATCACCGTGAAGCCGGCCAATCAGCGCACACTGACGTCCACGCATCGCGGATCCTTTTCGAGGAACAGCCAGCTGTCCAGTGGGTCACATCACACTAATAATACAAACACCTCCGACGAGATCGAGCACGACGATCAGGACGATATTGTGGACTTAACGGGCGTCACCCTGGACGAGAGTCCCACGTCTACGTCAGCCGGCAACCACAACCATCAGCCACCATTATCCTCATCTCCCCCGTCGCACCACCAGCAGGCAGCCTCCAATGCGTCCACGATAATGGCCAGCGATGTCAAGGATGGAGTGCTGCATTTGTAGGATTAACCAGCAGATACAACCTCCAGCAGCAGCATGCAGAACTTAAGCAACGGAAAACGTGAATTCATCGCAGAGAAGCGCAGAGGATTTTCAGTTTATCAGACTTAACTTTCCTTAAGATCGAATAAGTTTGTTAAACTCGAGTCAATTATTTAAAGTTATACAAGTTAGGCCAACTTATCACATGTACACTGATCGACTGTATATTGCTCACTTACTTAAGCGACTGTCACAGCTCAACCAATAATGACTTTGAAAATAAGCTTGTAAAATCCATTGTGATTAGCCAGAAAACCTGATTGATTGAGTAAACAATATATCGGCCATATCCCATTCATTTTCTGCTAATCTAGGCCATTTTAATTTAAAGTTCTGCAACATTTCGAGTCCAATTGTGGGTGAGCAATATATAAAACACGATTGTACATACATGTGTAATCATACGACTTTCCTCCATACATTCCACGAATCACTCAAAGTCAAACAAAAAACACCTATTCATTTGCACGTTTTTGAATGCAGTCGCTTGTTTTTATCTTTTTTCCTGGCATATATATGTGTATTTAAATTTGTAAGATTTACGTCTTGTTATTATTCTTGCTTGTTGCATTAGACTAGAGTGAGACAGCTAGATGAGGGAGTGAAATAGAGAGAGGGCATCAAATGCAGAAGGCAGATAAATTCACTTAACTAAACAATTTGAAACAAAATCAAACATAGGAGCACGAATAATTTATAAAAAACATTCCATTTTATGTACTTTGACAAGTCCAAAAAAAGCCCAACAAAGTTATATTTCTTGATTTGCAAACCTTTTTTTTTATGTAGGACGATCATTCTGTGTATATCTGCAATGTATTTTTTAGCTCAGCTTCTTGTTTTTTCGGCATTACTCATTATATCTGTTTATTTTATATGCTTTTTGTAATTTTAACTTTTGTTCTTCGTTAAAGTGTCCAATACTCGTCCAAGTTCTTTGTTGAAACTGTCATCCCTTAGAGTTATGGAGAAAGGAAAGAAAAACGAGGAGAAAAAGTTAACAAATCGTTAAGATACAAACGAAACACCAACAGCGCCTTCGCCCTCAAGAGAGCAATTCGATACTTTTTATATATATACAAGAGAATATATACACTAATACAATCTATGTTATATACGTACCCATGTACACATAATTGAAGTCTGTATACGCTTTAGTCAAATTGAGATAAGGCCACTCACGGCAGATGCGATGCGATCTGCGCGACTTGAAGTTAACAATATTCATATTTATGGGACGGAACAGGCGTAACTAACCACACGAAGTAGCCTAGATAGATAGCAAGATCTAGGATAGACAGCAGCGAATCTGAAACTATATCTAAATACGTATCGCCTAACCACTCCCCTTATACCCATTCCACATATCTCCTTACATTACCGAGCAATCTGAACTTACATCGAACAAAAGTCTCCTGAATACCCGATTTCCAAGCACACGCATATATATATATAAAAGCAAAAGTGTATTCCCCCTAAGCAACTGAAAAGACCGAAAAGCAAATCACGAAAGAAAACCTTATATTTTGATGTATGTATTATTATTTTTTAATAAACCTAAGAGAACTTGTAACCGAGCTGGTGTGTAATGGGTTTTCCTGGGAGGTTGTAGAAAAACAATTAGAAATAAAAAGAAGAGTTTATTGTTGATATCACAACTAATTCAAAGCTTTGTTACAAAAAATATACAAAAATATAAAGTTCAAAATTATATATTGTTCTCGCATTATTTAGTCCTTTGTAAGCAATACTTTTCAATTCAATTTTATTGACTTACTTATTTTACAGAAATCAGTTCAAATATTTTAACCGAACTTTAATCAAACAAGATCCTACATAGATCCTTTTTTAAGACTGCGAACTGCAAACCGGTTTATTCATTAGTTTTTGCCTTTTCGCATTCATTCTTAAAGATTGGAAACCATATAGTTTTTGTTTCATTAGGTATTCGACCACTCTTCTGCTTGCTGAATATGTACATTTGTTCAAGTGTGTATTCGCGAACTTGGGGTTTTAATCGTAGTTGGTTTCTTCTTACAGGGTAGAAATTATAGCATTACATTCAAAACAAAAATGAGTCATCTAAGCAAATAACATTAAAGACAAAAATTATGGATTTCGGAGGCTGAGAATGATTATCAGTCTAATCGCTTCCTGTCGCAACATTTGCGGCATTGTTCTCCAGGCACTGCCAAATGGTCTTGGCCGCTGGCCGATCCTCGCTTAAAGCATTTGTGCACAGATAAAACAGCTCCACGATGCAGTTGTAATCGTCGCTGAGCTGAAAGGCCACTGGCAATGGTGGGCGTGTACCATAAGCGGAATGAAGGTTGTTCAGTGTAATGTCGGAGATGTCGTTCTCCTTGGTGTCATCATCTTCTTCCTCCTCCTCCTCCTCATCATCATCCTCGTCATCGTCGTCGTGACTCATATCGTTGTCTGTATGTTCTTCTATTGCAGAAGGTAACCCGTTTTTCCTTTCATCGCTGGAGAAGTCCAACTTCTTGCGTTGCACCTTCTCCGTGTCGGTGGGTAATTCGTGGGAATTGTCCATATCCTCTCCAAGTGCTGCGTCCAGCTCCAAGGTATGTGGAGGCACCAGAGCAAGGGTTTCGTAGATAACCAGGCCAAAGCTGAAGATGTCTGCTTTGCTGTCAATGACGTCCACTTCGTCCACAACCTCCGGAGCGCACCAGAGGCTAGTTCCTAAAACAATGCGACATTAGTTGTTAATTGGGCTCCTGGTGCAGCATAAAAACTTTAATGCTACATAGATTTATATCATATTGGTTGATATACCGCATAATAGCTCAGTAAACTCACCCACATAGCGCAGTCCGGGATTCTTTTGGAAATTAACCTCGCCCTGCTCATCGAGAGGAATAGAGACTCCAAAATCGCACAGCTTACAGATCTCAAACTCGCCCTTGACCAGGACATTAAAGGACTTGAGGTCGCCGTGCAGGAGACTCGCTTTGTTGTGAAGAAAATCTAGTGCCAGGGCCACGTCCATGATCATCTTATAGGTATTTTTGGCCGGCAACGGCCCGAGATCCTCGTCGTGTCGCTCCTCGAGTATGGAGCCCAGCGAAGTGGTGCACATTTCGAGTGCCAATGTGTTGATGCCCTCGTCATTGGTGACAACGCCTCGGAATCCCACGATATTTGGATGCTTTAGTTTGCTGTGAAGTCACAAGGTGCTGTTAATTGGAACATTCAGTGTAGGACGTTACTATAAATACAATCCTGCGTAGTGTGTACACCAAAGGCGCACTTTAAGTATGCACATCAAGGTAACTCAATGCATTGCAAGCAAAAACTTCATATAATAAGCGCTTTGATTATGAGTATGGAGTTTCCTAGTTGAAGTGCGATGACTTGGGTTCTCTTTGTTAAAATATCTTGCTTGATAATGCTATAATTTTCGTTATTTAATAAGGATTATTTTGTATATTTAAGCGACCAGCTAAACGTTGAGAATTTAAATTGATAAAATAATTTTTGAAGCTGAAACTAAGCAATGATTTGGAGTGGATCACTGAATAGAGCCTAGATCACTGTTTCGATACTATTACAATGGTGTACTTTAGCGAGCATGGACTGTAGTTGCTCAGCTGTAGCTGTGGGCCACCCTGATGAATTGCTGACCCACATATCCGACCACCCAGCACACACGCACATCCAGCATCCACACACACACACCAAGACGCAGGACAATGACGCACACACACACAGGTCGATTGGAGTTTTGGATTTGGATGAACCTACCGCAGGATATCGGCCTCGTGGACAATCCGCTCGTTGAAGAGCGTGTCCTTCTTGACCCGCATGTTCTGCGTGATCCGCTTGACGGCCCATGGCGAACGGATTTCGCCGAGACGGGGCGAGCGGTCCAAGCGATATACCCGGATCCCAGTGCCGTGGCCCAGGGTCTTCAGCATCGGCGAGGGCGGTACGTTGATGGGCGTGCTGCTGTTCTGGATATTCTCCATGTGCAAATTTCTCAGCTTGCGGCCTGGCGTGTCCATCGCATCAATGGCTAAATTCAATCAAACCGAAATTAAAGCGACGCGCACAAAACACCGTTTAAACTGTAAATGGAATGCAACAGTGTTGGTGTTGTGTTTGGTCCTAGGCGGCAGTGTGACCGTAGCACCTCTTTGGCAGCAAGTAAACGCGAAATGGCTGCTAAGCAGAAAGTTTTTCTTACTGCCTTGTTGTGCACACAATTACTTTTAAATTATAGCTCATAAACTTTTGTCTGAAGTAGATGAGAAACGAAGCTGCTGTTCTTGGGTGCCAAGTGACTGGTCACACTTATTCGTGGAGCGGCTTGCAGTACTAAATGCTTAGCCGTTGGCATTCAAATTGCTTTTACAAAATTCAGTTTAACTACGAATTAACAGAAAGAGAAAAAAGTTAAATGAAGTTGGCAATAAACTTAACTGGTGTACATAATATAAAGCAAAAACTAAACGTATTTAATATATATAAGTTTAGCAACACTATTTCGCATATTGCCGTTAGGATTTAAATTAAATGTAACTTCAAAAATGTTAGCTAAGACACGAACCGAAGCAGGTGCGTCATCCCCAGACGGCAACCGACTTCGAAATACCGCATTTCGTTGGTATTTTCATACCAACAATTGGCGCGAAAGCCGTGCCAAAGCAGAAATAATAAAAGAAGAGGCGCGCAGAGAGGCAGTCTGTGGAGAAACACCAGTGGAATCGCACACAAGTGCTGCGATTCGAAAGCGGACGTGCGTGAAAATCCAGGCCGCGGGTTTTCAAAATTTTTTGTTTTATTTTTTCGAGTGCGGTGTGGGAGGGTGTCACCTCCAAAACGACAAAGCGGCAGCAACAACAACACCGTTAATATTCTGGAACGGGCACACACACACACAAACATCCAAAACCGAAACATGCTTGGCGGAGTCGTGATTTAAAAATAATAATACACAACACCAGAATAAAATATACGCAAACACACACACACGCGCATGCAGGTGCAAAATAAAGTTTCGTTACTGGTTTCTGGTGATAACAACAAAAAAAAACATGAATAACTAAAGAAGAAACCAAAAATCAAAAAGAGGAACCGCAAAAATGCCACTCAGCTGTTACGGCGAAAAAACAGCGAAAAACACCAAAAACATCGAAAATCAGGTGAAGAGCGAGAAGAAAGATGGAGATTAAAACAAAGAGCGGAATTGGAAACGAAATCGTTAAAAATCAAATAATAACAATAACAACAACAGCAGCAACAACAAAGGCGGCAACCTGCTCTTGAAATCGCCACAAATCTTGCTTTAATCTTTTGTTTTACAATAACCCTCAAAATCGCCATAAGGCACAAGTGCAATAAAAACCATAACAACAACAGCAGCAAGAACAAACAAAATCAATATTCAAATTAAGCAGCAGCAAAACCAACAACACCAACAACAACAACTCAACGAGTCGAGTCGATAAGCTAAACGATAAGTGAGAGAACCAAAAAGGGGAGAAGAGAGAAAGAGCGAGCGCAAAGCGAGAGATAGAGAGCACACAGCATCCACCCAAACCAAATTCACAAAATTACCACCCCCACAAAATGGGACGTCGAACTTATTTAAGCCGGTCCTCAGCGATTTCCTACCCCAGCAGAATCGAAGGATGGCTGGATGTCTGCGGTGAGTGGTTGTTACTACATATAACATCATAGACTGCAATTATTATAATAAATGCGCCTATTAAACTGCTGTTGGTTAGACCAGAAAGTTAGTTAACGTGTACTGCCATCTGATTCCTTCTTCCGAGCCTAATATTTTCACAAAAGTAATTGTTAGAAACTAAAACTGAATGATTTCTTTATTTCTTTTCTTGGCAAGTATAGCAAAATAAGCATAACTATCCCCTCGATATTGTATTTTAAACTGAAAACTAAAAGTACTCAAAGAGTTAATGGAAGCCAGGAGATAAGGGAAAACATCTGCAGACAAATAATGGTACCCAAGAGTACCGTCGAAAAAGCGAATGTATTTTCTAATCGCAACTCAAAGTAAGCAAATGGCTGTAATCTAATTTACTATTAGGTACCATTAGATACAAATTATTAGATACAATCTTTATGTGTACTGCTAATGAAAGCGTGCTTAGATAAATGTTTGATAAAGAGCTACAAAGTCTAGTAGAAATATATGTTATAGCCATTATTAAGAAAGCAATTAATTAAGCATAGCGCATTTTCAATGGCTAACTATTGTTTTTGGAGTACGGAAAACTCGAAAATCAAACCCAGTGACCAACTCGAATTGTTTTTCACTTGGCAATACATTTAACACCTGTTTAAAAGCGCATAAAAATGGTGAGCAAGTGCCCATAAGTTGGCTTTTTAATGTGACACTACACTTATGGGCGGTTCATCCGTGAACTTTGCGGGCAGAAATGTGGATGGAGAGGTTCCCCTCCCGGCGGATGCGGATGTGGAAGCGGTTGCGGATGCGGATGTGGGATGGTGATCTGTGTTGTTTGATGTGGGCTGTGGGATGAGCTCCCTCGAGTTAAGTGTCTTCGTGTCACCTGTGCAAATTCCTTGGCCTGGGAAAAAATACCTTTCCACATTTTTCGGGCAGGTTCATGTTTGTCGACGAGCGTTTTTCTCCGTTATCTCCCATTTTACCTGTCGCAGGTTGTCGCTGCCTTGCTTGTTGTTGTTTCAGTGAGGGGTTGCTCGTACTTCCCTCGGAAAAAGGTGAAAACACACACACACACACACACCCATCGCACATCGCACACTGCAAATACCCAGGCAAATAGACAACAAAGCCCCTGCGCAGGGTTTCTCCTCTCATCGAATGTTCAGGCGACCAAAGTGGCGAAGGTGAAGTGGATATCTTTGGACGGAACGCAAAGATCGTTTGAAATATATGTATGCACACTACTTTCTGAGAGCTAAATGTGCATTTGGAATACCGTACAGCTTGCGCCAATCTTTTAGCACACCTACTTAGTGATATTCAAAATAAAGACCTAAGTTGTGTTAATAAATTATCCTTTACTTAGGCACTTTAAAATATTGTCATACACTAATATATTCGACTTCTAATATGATATCCAAACACTTATTTTGAAAAATAAGGCACATATTTTCTGAACTGAACAATTGCAGTCAATAATACCTAATAAAATGGCTTCCATTCATAAGTGGAGTATTTATGCTGGCTAACAAAATCAGCTATGTTACGAAAACGATCCACTAGATGGCGTTACATAATACCCTTTTAATTGGTACAAGGGTTTTCGCTGGGTAAATAGTAGATGTTTTTGTCGCCTGTGGCCGATATGCTCAGGTGTATTTGGATCCAGGGCATGGGGCATTGAGGGAACACGCACAGCAGAAATTGGTAATAGCAGACAGCCACACACACACTCAAACGATCGCGATAAGTGGCAGCAAACAGTAAAAAAGGCTACCTTCGCCTTGAAGGCAACTTCTCTTATTGCCGTTTTCGGATTTCGTTGGTTTGCCTCATTTGCTTTATTTTTCCATTTCATTTTTTTTGTTACCTTTCTGTTACGGTTATTTGCCCGCAGCGGAAGGAAGGTGTGTTTATTTCCAGGTGAACAAGAGTGTGCGTTCGTGTTGGTGTGTGTGTGTCCGTGCGTGTTGGTGTGTCAAGGTCATTGATGGCATTCTATGGTAACCTTTTGCCTCGCCATTTGGCTTCGTCTTTGTCCATGTCTCTTGGACTTTTGTTGTTTTCTTGCAATCGGTTTTGAAGCCCACCTACAAAACTCGGCTAACAAACAAGCGCTCAGGCACCGAAACACATGCACATAGAGAAAAAACGCACGAAATCTGTAAACCAGATCATTAATCATCTGCGTCTTTTCGGCTCAATTACAATCATTGGTGTGTTGGAAATATCTATTAGCTATCTTAAAAGTTATTATATCCTTTTCTTTAGTACCGAGATAGATTTCAACTTAAGATATTTACACTGTTACGGTTTAAAGTTTGATGTCTACTTTTAAAGCTTATCACTTATAAAACAAATAACAATGTAACTAACTTTGATCTTGCATATTATGACGAATAAGAAGTTAGATTTTCTGTCAGTGCTTTCGAGCTCAGAACAAATCGCAGAGGTTCGATCCATTTGGTTGTTCCTGTTAGTTTTTTTTTCTTTTTGCTAGAGTTGTTCTCTCGTGTTGGCCGCTGGCTTGACATCATTTCTGTCATGTTTCGTGTTGTAGCTGCCTTTTTATTTGGTCGCTTGTTAGATGGCACAGTCAACAATGGCTACAGTGTACGCAAGAATCTCCAAAACAAATATGATAAACGCATTTGTAGTTTTACGGCCAATATCCACGTTAAATAGTTGAACATCAATGTAAGTAACTAAATGTAACTAATAAATCTGCCTGACAAGGAATTACTTACTAACTTTATGAAGATTTAGCCCGTGTGTCCGCCTGTCAGACTTTATTCAATCGCGAGTGTCCACTGTACCCTGTTAACCCCTCGTGGCTTTCGCTTTGCATGTCACTTGGCCATGTGTAAGCTCTTCTTCTTGGCCGGTTCGGTGTGGTTCGACTTGGTTCTTTGGGCTTTGGCGTTTAGAAATTGGTTATGAGGCCGCTTGCGAACAAAACCAACAGCAGGCAGGCAGGCAGGGAGGCAGGCCCATGCCAAAAGCGTTAAAAGGAAGACGGCGAGAAGAGGAGAAATCGACTGGGCCAAAAGGCAGACTGAAAAGCAATGATTGAAGAGTGAAGACTGCGACTGCGACTGGAGGAGGAGTGGCCATTGGCCACGACAAGCCGATGGAGAAGAACGATAAATGTTGGAGCGACACACAAGTGTCGAGGTGATGGCGTCATTAACTTGGCCGAAAGCTTTTGTCGCTGACACACTTTTTGGCATTGCACTCATTGTTGTTGTCTTTGTTGGCCAATTCGATTTTTATGGGTTAAAGCGACGCCACCACCTGCTAACTATCAAATTGCTGGTTTCAAATACAAATGTAGCTCACAGTTTCTAGCATTTAAACGCCAGCGATTAGCCAAACTCTCTAAGCTGAAATGATGAGTGGCTTCAAGCTATGCTCGTAGTAAAGCTAATATCAAATAAATGAATAGATGATTAAGACCTAATGAAAAATAATGTGTAGACATAGCGAACATAAAATAATTTGTGGAGATAAATTTACGTTTGTACACTTTTAACGAGCAATTAGCTAAATTCATGCCTACTGATTAGACATAAGAATGAATAGTTGAAGAAAATATAATATTTAAATGAGTCAATTTGCCAAACTCTTTAAG